TCAGACACAATTTGGAACGAACTGTGAACACCCCAATAGTTCTCAAGTTGATATCCAACATCATTCTCCAACTCATCTCTAACCGACGCGCAGATAACAAAAAGTAAATAATTTTCAAAATATCCTCAAATAATCTTGAAAGAAAATAAAGCGCCAAGTGAACCAAGTGGCAAAATTACTGTCGGGCTGTGTACTGTGAAGTTAATTATTGTAATACGATTTGGCTTAACTACATAATACAAAAGGAGTAATAGAATGAAAAATTAATATTTAAATTCATCTATGTATGTCGTTTCAATCAAAAAGGTATAAGGTATTTTACTATTTCAATTTCAGTATTTCAATGATATGTTTGAGACCAATTGCCATTTTTGTTGAGAACGCTATGATCCTCCACTTTGAGGTACTGTTGAGAAACAACGTTGGAGATTTTAGAAATACCTTAGTTCTCAACTTAACCTCAAGTTGAGCTCAAACCTAAATGTTTATTGGGATTGTTCAACTGTTGGTTGAACGCGGCAGGTTAATGGTGTAAACGCAAGAATGATAGAATACAAGATTGCGCCGATCAGAGAGGATTCTTGAGAATAACTTTTGTGTGACGTCACACTGGTGCAATTGCGAGAAAGAAATGCTAAAACGTGAGCAAGAATGGAAGAAGGAGAAAAAATGTTGCAAGGAAAACGTAAAAAAGTTGCACAAGTGTGACGTCATGCAAACAACGATTCTGTCAAATTCGTTAAGAGAGGAATAGCGGTCCGAGATCGGCGCCGCAACCTTTGTATTCTCTCAATCGTGGTGTAATAGGGCATTCGCACGAGGCGATTTTACAGGCAACAAAAGTTGAATACGTAGTTGAATGAGAAGTTGAAAGTGAAAAAGTTGCCATCCCTATTCAGACGAGGCGATTTTGGATTCAACACGAATCGTTATTTACATTATTGAAAATGAATTTAAATCGCAAAATTTTATCAATTGGCGTAAATTTGGTAAGCCAAGCGTTGGTAGAAGTGCTTTTAGCGAAGCTGAAAGATAAAATAAGAGTAAAAAAGTAAAAAAGAAAAAAAAGTATGTATACAGAACAGTGTTGGCATTTTTGGTACAATTGTACTTGTTTGATACAATTTCATTTACAATATACTTTCCTACTACGCAGTACTTTTTAGTAAAATTTTGTAATGAATACTAAAAATATATAGCTCTGAAAATTCACTGAAAATGTGTGCATACATATTTGCGTTAAATGCAAAACATGTGCACGTGGAATCAATTTGTAAAAGTGTAAAATACGTAAACGTATGTACATAAACAATAAAACTTTCTAATGAATACCATAAAATCATTGGT